AAAACCAGCTTTGGGCAATTTACAGAGAAGATAAAGTCAATTAAAATACAATATAAAAACAGTTTTAAATAATAAATTCCAAGAATTGATGGAATTGGTGAGTAGCTCAGGGAGTGTCATCAGGGCCCCAGCCACCCCCAGGATTGATTAGAGTTCTTATCACCCCACGCAAGCTGGCAGAGCCAGGTCTTTAGTCCTTTCTGGAAAGCCGGAAGGTAGGGGCCCGCCACACCTCTGGGGGGAGAATATTCCAAGGGGTAGGGGCAACAGCAGAGAAGGCTCTCCTCCTGGGCCCTGCCAGCTGACATTCTCTCTGACAGGGTCTGCAACATGCCCTCTCTGCCTGACTGGGTGGGATGAGTTGATGTGATGGGGGTGAGACAATCCCTCAGGTAACCTGGACCCATGCCATATAGGGCTTTAAAGGTGATAACCAACATCATGAATTGGACCTGGAAGCAAACTGGCACCCAGTGCAGCTCCCGCAGTAAAGGTGTTATACATGCCATCCTTGGGGCACCCAAGATTGTCCGCACGGCCGCATTTTGAATCCGCTATAGCTTTTGGGTACTCTTCAAGGGTTTCCCCATGTAGAGTGCAATAGTTTTAACCAAGAGATGACCAGGGCATGCGTGACTGACCGGAGAGCTTCCTGACCCAAGAAAGGGCATAACTGGTGCACCATACGAAAGTGGGCAAAGGCCCTCCTGGCCACAACTGCCACCTGCTCCTCAGGCAGGAATTGTGAGTCCAGGAGGACTCCCAGATTATGCACCGGGTCTGTCTGGGGCAGTGCAACCCCGTTCAAAACCAAAGATAGTAAATTCTCAGATACATAGGGGCCTCCAATCCACAGCCACTCCATCTTACCAGGGTTCAGCTGAAGCCTGTTGCACCCCATCCAGACCCCCACAGCCTCCAGGCTCCGCAAAAGGGTGGTCATGGCATCATTCAATTCACCCAGGATGGAGATGTATAACTGGGTATCATCTGCATATTGATAATACCTCATCCCATGGTGGCGGATGATCTCACCCAGCAGTTTCATGTAGATGTTAAAAAGGAATGGAGAGAGTACTAAACCCTGTGGCACCCCACAGTGGAGAGGCCATGGGCTGGACCTCTCACTCCCAATCCAACACCGATTGGGATCAACCTTGGAGGAAGGAAGAGAATCATTACAAAACTGTGCTGCCCACTCCGAACTCCCTAAGTCAGCCCAAAAGGATACCATGGTCAATGGTATCGAAAGCCTCTGAGAGGTCAAGAAGAGCAAGGATGGATGCATTACCCCCATCCCACTCCTACCAGAGATTATTCATTAGTGTGACCAATGCCGTTTTAGTCCTGAATCCGGGCCTGAAACCTGACTGAAAAGGGTCCAGATAATCCGTTTCCTCCAGGATACACTGGAGCTGCAATGCCACCACCTTCTCAACCACCTTCCCTAAAATGGGGAGGTGGGGGACTGGACGAAAATTGTCCAATATGGTGGGGTCCAGTAATGGCTTCTTGAGGAGGGCATGCACTAGCACCTCTTTAAAGGGAGCTGGGAACACTCCTTCCCTCAAGGATGAATTCACCATCGCCTGGACCCACCCACATGTCACCTCCTGAGCCTTAACCAGCCAGGAGGGACACAGATCTAGTTGACAAGTGGTGGCATTGACCATCTGGAGGGCCCTTTCCACTTCCTCGGGTTCACAGATAACAGGGTAAGTCCATACCTTGGGCATCTCCATAGACCATGCCCCACACTTGGCATCCAACTGGGACTGGATGTGAGTGATTTTATCCTCCTGATGTCCAGAAAAATCCTCTGAGCAGCCCTGTAAATGGGCCACTGGGCCCAGATTGGGTGATCCTAAACAGGGCCGCTTGGCATTCTGCAGGTGCAATAAGAGTGGAGAAATATTAAGCAAATCACACAGTCATTAAGCGAATCCAGCTTCCCCCATTGACTTTGCTTGTCGAAAGCCCCCTGGGGAGTTCACAAATGGTTATCATGTGACCCCAGGACACTGCAACCATTGTAAATACATGCTAGTTGCCAAGTGCCCAAATGTTGATCACATGACTATGGGAACGTTGCAACGGTTGTAAGTGCAAGGACCGGTCATAAGCCACTTTTTTCAGCGCCATCATAACTTTGAACAGTCATTAAACAAATGGTTGTAAGTTGAGGACTACCCGTACATGTATTACTATTGTCCCCAATATGATAGAGTCCATACTGGTAGATTGCGCTGTTTTGCTCTTTTAAAAACCATAATGGATCCCTTATATTGTTATCTCAGCCATACTACACAAACATGAAACTGTTAAGGAAGGTTGTTCCTTTGGAAGAAGAAACCAAGGAAGGTTGTTCAAATTAATTGGGCTTCAACCTCCAGAAAATCTCAGTGCATTGGACTAGGTTGAGCAGTAAAAAAACATCCTGGAAAAAAGTAATGCCAAATCAAGGAGATTCTGTCTTTACTCATCAGTATGCTGGTGACATCCAGCCTGTTTTTTAATTTTTGGAGTTTTGTGGTTTTTGTTTGTTTCAATCTGAAACAGTTCAATTCAAACTCTCATCTGCATTCTTGGTTTCCAGTACTTCTGGGATTGATAATTCTAATTTGGAAACCTGACAGAGTAACAAATTTTTAGTTATGATGGTAGGTAGACATAGCCTGGTGTGTTTTGTAATCTCTTAAAACTACATGTATGTCCATGAAGTAACAAGACTTGACTTGAGGGAGACTACCTTTTTGTGTGAGGGATATGCAGTACATCATCCCACATTGAAACGTGATCCATAAGAAAAAAGAAGCATTATTAGCTGAGCATGCATGCATGCATGCATGCATGCATGCATTTATTTATTTATTTATTTATTTAGTATGCCGCCCTTCTTCCCCAATGCATGGCTCTGGGCAGCTCACAATTAAAACCAAAAACCCAAGCCATTAAAAAACAATACCATATAAA